CTTTAATTGCTTCGTGGAAATTCATGGATGAGTAGCTTTTTTATGTTTCTGTTTGCTGGTTATCAGGTTATGTAGCGATACTAAACACTTAAGACCCATGTGGAGACTTCATCCATAAGGAGAGGCGATGGCACCCATCTGAGCTGGGTCAGGAGTAGGTGAGCTGGTGACTGCACAGCTCGTAGGGCAGCCCCTGCTGTGCTGCGTGACGCCGTGGCTGCTGCTGCCACCTTCCTCATGGCTCTCGTTAGCATTGCCTAGCTGCATCGTGCGGCTTACTCTCAGATTCGGAGGTTTCTCCCAAGACCCCTAAGATCTTAAACGTAGTGTGTGGGATTTTTGGAAACGGAGTAAGTGAACCCTAGCTGTTCATCAAACCAGAAAATGCTCATTTGTAATACCAGTTGGCAGGCATGACTCACTCAGTAAGTGCCTTTCATTCTGCTCTCTTGGAGATGTTTGCTCAGGCCCAGATAGAATCAGGTCTGATGACGCCCTTTAGCATGTCAGGGTTCAGCGCTAACCAGTCTCAGCCCCACGCTGTTCATTCTCCTTGACTTGCCTGCAGTTAAGGTCCGTTTCTCTACGGAAGGCGTGCGTCAGCCATCATTTCATTAGCCTTTCTGTTCTACTCTTTAACAAATCTATAGAGTGTGAACCGGTTGGCAATGGAAACGAGGAAAGCGATGAAGGGGAACCATTCCAGAAAGACAGCCGCGTTCGTCCGGGTACGCTACACATAAGGCCCGCAGACTTTGAACCCCGGTGGGTGGTTTTGCTCGCGAGTTCCTAATTTGCTCTTCCCAGAACAAGACGAGTGTGTTACGGTAAGAATGGTTTTGTATCGATTTTCCAGATGATCTTTTCCTCGCGTATCTATGGACTAATCAGTTTTCTTAATGTTTTCAAAAGAAACGATCAAAGGAGTCTGAATTTGGATACGCGTAACGGGGAGTTGGCCGAGGTGGATGTGGGTTTGTGTGCCAGCCCAGTCGTCTCTGTAGTCGTGCCTGGGTCTGGAAGGCCTTGTACCTTTTTTCTCTCTTGGTCACTTCCCAACTTTGAAAAAAAGATTTCAGCTACTTAAGCAGGCTGCTCAGAATTTTATCAAAGCAATGCGTATCTATAGTTTCAGAAATGAAATCCTGTCCAGCAGACGTCAGTGGCGCATGAGCATCTCCACCCTGCCCTTTCTCCCCTCATCCCTGGCTCCTCAGCCACCTCAGCCTTTTTCTTAAGCAACTTCTTCTTCTAGTTACTTCCATTATTTAAAGTAAGCGGTTTAAATAGCTGCTTTTTAACCTAATATTAGCTGTTACCTGTGATGACGGATGAGGATTTATTTTTCATACACCATGACTCTCTCCATTTGTCCCTCCTCCGTGAGAGACAGACACAGCAGAGGCGAAAGGGAGAAATCGGGGCTCGGAATGGGGAGGTTACATGTTTTTGCGTGAAAGTATATGATGGATGAAAACGGGTGCTAATCCACCGCGACGGCATTGCCCGTGTAACCTGATGTCCGCTTCCTCCTAGGCCTGTGTCGCCTACTGCTTCATCACCATTCCCTCCCTGGCGGGCATCTTCACGCGCCTCAACCTCTACCTGCATTCTGGTCAGGTGGCCTTGGCCAACCAGTGCCTCTCCCAAGGTGAGCCCGTCACGCCAGCGTCTCCTCTCCGGGCGTCAGGAAAGCCGACTTTGCAGGGGCGTATGGCCTGTGTCGGGGAGAGAGGGATTCCTCAAGGAGCTGTCAGTAAATGGGGAGTTTTAAATCTGTCGCTTTTGTAGGAAGCACAGCAGACGTGCACACGTGTATAGTCAGACAGATGACAGAGCGGGATGTTTTCCTGCAAGGAACTTCTTAAGTCTGTTGCAGGCAGACTGGGACAGGCAGCTCAGAACTCTGGGCCGTGTGTGCCTGGAGAGTTGTAGAAGTTAGGAGTGCTTCATCGCAGCAGATTCGTTTGTTTTTCATTGTTGATATTTTAGGATCTTCGTGGCTGAATATGTGGGTATTCACTGTAAAATTCTTTTCAGCTTTGCTTTCTGTTTGAAATTTTTTTATAATGTTGAGGGACAGGCAGCTCAGAACTCTGGGCCGTGTGTGCCTGGAGAGTTGTAGAAGTTAGGAGTGCTTCATCACAGCAGATTCGTTTGTTTTTCATTGTTGATATTTATTTGAAACTCCAGAGACACACGAGTAGAATCTAGTAAGTACAGAATGAATACTGTCTGCAGCTTGCAGTTAGGGCTGACAGTTCTGCTCAAGGCGCATGTCCGTACTAGGTACAGAAGCTGTCCCGGAGGTAAGGGTGTGTGTGAGTGGCTTATTTGGGAGGTGACCCCCGCCAGTGTCACCTGGGTGATGGGGAGGGGAGGGGAAACAAAAGTTCTCTGATATACAGCATTTGAAGTGGGACCTTTCTGCCCCCAAAAGAGAAAGTTACCTTCTGTTTTGCCATTAATAGATAGATCTTGAGAATAGCGTCTTTGAGAGAGATGAAACACATTTAACTTATATTAATTTAGATTACATATTTTCATCACAGGAAACACAGCCTGTTGGGAGTTTTTTAAATCAAGAAAATGCAAAATGTTCCTCCTCGTTAAATTGCTTAGTCCTTACATATATTTTGTTCTTTTTAGAAACTCATTTATTCCCTCAGTGTTAATTATGAACAATTATTGATTTCAGTGCGCTCACTCTCGAGGACGAGAAGAGAATGCTGGCATGTTTGATTAATGGATTTATAAAAATGGTAAGTCTCGAGGAAGGCGCTTCAGTGCTCTTGGAAACGTGATGTAATTGTTTACCTTCACGCTGGGGAGAGCAGTTCACATCGTGTTCTCTGGTGCTCTTCATTTTTATTGAGATAAGATGGAGTTAGAAAACATGTGACATTAGCCAGCACTTCCCCAGGGGCAGAGGGAGCCAAGACAAACTGACCTCAGGGAAAATTCAAAAGGAGAGGCAGGAGGGAACACTTATTGCTTCCCGTGACAGAAAGCCCTGGATGGAACCCTTTGCAGGAGCAGCTGGACTAGGGGTCTCTGTGGTGTCGTCAGGGCCTGCCGCCTGTGCATCTCTGGCTCGTGGCTGAGCTCTCGGTGTCCTCCCAGGCGGCCCGCTCCCCGCAAGAGCCACAGGCGTCCTCCCAGCTCTGCAGCCTGGTGGGCAGGGCCGCAGCAGAGGTGCTGAGATTGAGTCCCTTTGGGGTCATCTGGGTCACTGGCCCACCCCCGAACAAAGTGCAGCTGTGAGGGAGGATGGACACACCCACTGGCCAGGCCTCGGGAGACACGCGCACACCTGGGCAACCGGAATCACGTGGTCTGGGACCGGCAGGGGGCTTTTGAGACACCAATGTGCTGCTGCTCATCAGATGGTGAAATGAGGCCGAGTGCCGAGCGTCCGCTCTCTGTTCATCTAGTTTCCCACTGCTGCATGGCAGCTCACCCCAAGACCTAGTGGCTTTAAGTAACAGTGTTTTGTCAATCCTTACAATTCTGTGGGTTGGCTGGGTCACAAGGCTGCTCCATGTGGCAGGACTTGGGGCTGGAAGGTCCGGGATGGCCTCGCTCATGTGTCTGGGGCCCTGCTGCTTGCTGGCTGCTGGCTGCTGGCTGGAGTGTCTCATTTCTCATCTGCGTGACCTCTTTCTCTCCACTGCCCGCCCTCCATTCAGTCGCCTCAGCTGAGCTCTCTTACATGGTGACGGCAAAAACAAGCTGCAGGGCCTTCAAAGGCTGAGTTTAAGCCGTCTCAGTGGCTGGCGCTTTGTCCGACTTCATCCTTTGGGTCCGAGCAAGTCACAGGGCCAGCCCCGTAGAGGGGAGGGAAAGCAGACCCCGCCTCCGATGGGAGGAGTCCACAGGGACACCGAAAGGACAAGCAGAGTGGGAGGGATTCCTGGAGCCTCCTTTGGGAAAAGCCCGCCCTACCATCCT